GTATATCTGTGACTTGCAGCCACCAATGGGATAATTTGCAGAAACAATTAAGACATCTCTTTCCTTGGCTGTGGAAGGAAGGAGAATAGTGGGTGTACTGGCATGAGCTTGGCCGCAGCTTCTTTGTTGATGCATGTCTTCTCCATTGCTTGCTGTCTTTGCAGTTGGCATTTTGTTTTTTGAATGTGACTTGAATATTTTTCCATTAAGATAAATAATAAATTCCATGTTAAGTGAGAATTAGTCCAAGCTACTGAGTTTGGAACTGAACTCTTGATTAGAACTGTTTATAAATGCTTTAACAGCACTGTGTTATCAAACTCCATGCATAGCGCAGACATGTATGCATAAGTTGTACTTTGGACTGTTGAGTTTGGCTTTTAGTTGCAGTTGCTAATCAAGCAGAAGTGCCATTTTAAAAAAAGGATTAACAGCTGAGAGACTTGAAGCATCTACACCTCTAAGTATCTCCTACGTAGTCTGTCTCCCAGCTGCATCTCTCCACTGAAGCATGATGAGGCTTACAACATGCACGCAGATTGTCCTTCTGGCCTTATTACAGCTTCTGCAAACTCAACATTTAATGTGCTTGTTCTGTCCCTCTGTAGCCCATTCTGACCAGGACTCTGATGCTCAGGATGCCTCAGGGATCTGAAAATACCCACACATGTCTAAGTGTCTTGGTGGAAGAGACAGTGTGTTGCAGCAAGGCAGTTTTCTTCACCTTCAGCAGTAGCCTTACTCTACTAAGGTTTTTGCTTTCCAAGCCCTCCCTGTCCGCCTGCCCCATTTCCAGCCTCAAGATAAGTCTGATAATTCAGTTAGTTATTTTTTTGCAGATTAGAGTGCAGCTGGTAGTTGCAAAGTTGATCAATTTGCAGCCTTGGCTCTGGCAAGGATAGAATATCTGCTCAGACCCTGTCTTGGATGTCACAGAATAGCTCTATCACATGGTTTGGTGTCCAATCTGAAGTGTGGGAGATCCAAGTTCTAGGTCCTTGCCTTGTCTGAGTAGGGCATAGGACCTCAGTTTCTTATATCCTCATGAGTGTGTGCATTAAGTCTGCAGTAGTTCTCTTTCTTCCTTTCACACAATGTATATTTGTTTTCTGTAATTTAGAAAAAGAGAGGCTGATAGACTACATAGTCTACTATTACAGATTAACTGCGAGATTGAGATTCGAATTTGGGGTTGAATTGGGAAAAGCAGATGGTTTTTCAGTGAATGAGTCTCTTTTCTGATTTTCACATAACTTAGATTTTGACCTGATGTGGAACTTGAATGCTCACGCCAGCTTTCTTTTTTGCACTAAATGGTAAAATGTTTTTCTGCTTCCATCTGTCCCTCCTGGTTTTAATCTAGATTTCTAACACACCAGTTTGGGATGATTTTTGAATTTGTGGGTTTTGGCTGATAAGTAGCCATGAAATTCAGACTGATACCATGTGCTAAATCAGGCGTATTGCTTCTAGTTCATCTTTAGTTAATCCTGTGGGTAACAGGGATCTGATACAAAGGCTGTTTATAATGGCATTTAAGATAATTTGATTCATATTTAATCCGTATTAGCAGTAACAAAAGTCAGGACATCTTTGGTGTTTATATACACATTATACTTCTGGTGGAAAAAAATATGTTTTCGCAAACATTAGATATCTGAAGATCACTTCATCTTATAAGAAAATTATATACTCAGTAAGAGCAGAAATCAAAGGATACTTGTACAGAAACAGACTACCTCAGCAAACCAGGAAAATATGAATGTGAAAGTGAACAAACACATTTAACACAATTGTGCAGTATGGCTTCATGATAATCTTTTGACCTGTCAAGGAATACGTGGGCAATGGCAGTTCCCTGATCCCTCACTCTCCTAGACCCTTCTTGACTAGGAAGATTAAAAGACACTGTACTTCATAATTCTTAAACTCTTTGCCCCCCAAGTATTTGGGATTATCTGTAAGGATCTCAGAATTACTGTTTGGAGGTATAGTTGTTAAAAAAACCCCAAAACAATCAGAAAGAGAGATGAAGAAAGGGGACTCCATAAGTACCCCTGGAAAATAGAAAGATTGAATTAGTTTCTTTACAAGTGAGTTTGGAGGGTGAGTCGCAGGATATGAATACAGCATTGGGAACATTCCCGGATCTTTTCCACAATCCGTTTAATGTGGTCACAGATTCCTGACTGTGAGTAAAAATAAATTAGAATTAACTTCAGTGAGTGTTGAAAACATGGAGACTTTTAAATTTGTTTGGAAAAAGCATCAGGGCATGCTATGATTTTTTTTTTTCTATACTAATTAGTGATGACAAAGCATCAAGATGGCAAAGAATGAATCATTTGGATGTTCATGAAACAACTTATTTTAGTGTCACTAACATGTGGTTTTTGGAATTCTTGAAGTGATAGACTAAGGATCCAAGGCGTATCTTTGATGAAACAGATTTGTTTGAAGAGGACAGTTATTCTTAATCCATTTCTTTTCTGAAAAACACTAATAGCCAGACTACTGTTGTTTCTTGAGGACTATCAGGTATGCTAACAATACATAATGGCTTTTATTATCAAAATAATGAGGCTGCATGACCTTTGTACTAAACTATGGAGCACCTTTGCATTCACATCTAAAGTTAAATTTCATGTGAGTAGCAGCCACGTACGTCTAGGAGGTGAGTTAGACTCAAGTGATTAGGAACAGACATCCAGAGGTTGTGCCTTTTATGTTAAGAAGTTGTAATCGAACCATTTCTTTTTTGAACTCAATAGAAACCCAGTGAGTTTTAGAAGGTTTTGAAGAACTGAACTCAAAGATGACAGATTTTTTGCATGATCCAAAATTAAATAAAATTTTGCTTTTTTTGTACTTACCCAGTTGCACCTTAGTTTCTGGAATTCATAGATTCCATTTCAGTAACTTTCTGGACTTGAAAGATTTTGACTTGATATCACATAGTATATGAATTAAGTTATAGAGCCAAATAATATTTCTTCAAATTATCTTTTAATTCAGCATGTACATTCTTGATAAGGTATTTAATTGATTTTTGCTCCAGGAAAATGATGGCAGCTTTTAAAATGCAGATAATTTGTCATGTTAGCTATTGACAATTTACTGGATAATTTGGAAAAAAAAAAAGGTTTGAAAAGAAAAGCATAATAAGAAAGCTACTAGAATTTTTGCTAAAATACTTTGGCCTACTACTCAACTGTGTACCCCAGGTTCTTCAAGAGTTTTTTTTGAGGGGAGAACTTGGAGTTGCTGTTGACAAAACTTACGCTGTTGAGACTCTCTTAGTGTTTAATAGTTTAACTTCTCTGAAAAATCCTCTGCTGCTGGAATCTTGTACAAGAACCTTGGCCTGAACTTAAGGAGAGTAGAAGAAAAAGGTGGGATCTGAAAGCTAAAAGACAAGAAGGCAAATAAATCATCCCTCAAATTTCTTGTGTAGGGATGGAGACCCACATAGTTTCCCATCTCGTGCACTTTGGAAGTATGTCTCCAGCTCTGCCTTAGCCTGATAGATGCAACTGTTGACGTAACTGGTGTTCTTGCTGAAGCTGTGCCATCTAGCAAGGCTCCATGCCCAAAAGACCCCAGCTGGGATTTGCATTTCTAGTACAACAGCTGCTCTTAAGTGAGAAAACTTCACGCTGTTTCAATTATTTAACAAGCTGGTGGAGGTTTTTAAAGCAACCTTATCTTCCTGTGGAAGTCTGATTTGTGAACCTTGTGGTTGTCAGCACTGACTTTGGTTTGGTTTTGTTGTTCTTAAGTTATTGTAATGTACTGAGACCAGAGGTGGCCATTGTCGTATGGCAGGACAGTGATGCTCACTCTTTGTGTCACACTGGAATAAAACGTTACTCTTAGGGAAACTTTCTTCCCATTCATCATTGTCTGATACCTATGGCAAGTGTCGTGATTGTTTTCATGGAAAAGTAATTTTCAGAAGATGTGTTGCTATCATAAACTGAAATCAGACTGAGATTTGGTGATAGAAACGAAGAATAGAGCCTGGCCGCCCAGGTGATGTGGCTGGCCTCTTCCAGTAGACGACTTGCTTTCTGGACCACTAGCTCTCTGCAGAGTATGGTATTGGAAATTTTCTGTAAATGGTCTATCTTGGTAGAAGAGTTTTTTAGGAGTTTGGAAATGTCAGGAGCTTGCAGGTGTCATGCTCTTGATTGAAGGGTTTTCCTGTAACTGTCTTCATTTTATTCCCTCAGCTGAAAAAATAAGGTTGAACCTCTTTTCAGATAGAAACAGGCATTCATACTGCTTTGTGTATTGTTATGTATTTTAAGGAAACTTTGCAGAGGGACAGAGTTTGCAAAGATAAACTTGTGTTAATTGTTTATGTGAATTCATGTGCATGCTGTGATGGCAACTATAGGGTTGTAGTATGGATTTAAAGCTGATTGTTACTGGTTAATCCTGGCAGTTGAGAGCTCCCAAATGTCCCAGCTGTGGAAAAAAGCTTCACTGAAAGCTTACAGGTTCTTATATGCTTCGATCATATTTCAGTCATTTTGAAACAGATTTGAAAGCTTTGTTCTTGTGCTCACAGAACTGTTTGTTTTCTTCCTGTACTTACAATTGAAAAATACTAAATTTAAAATGGTTAATTTTAGAAAGTAGGGCGTTCTTTGAGCAAGTATTTTTTGAGAAAGTTTTCTATTGACTTTGAGACTGTTCTGACATTGAGCAGCTGACAGGGAACTGAGAGAGCCCACATTATTGATCTGAAACATGTGCCTCTGTGAACTCTTTACAGGAAGCACTTTCCTCATGATCAGTCTGTGGTGGGGGAAAGGCTCAGTTCTTCAGGCAGTAAATCACTGTCAAGTGAGTAGAGCAGACTGAATGATCAGAATATTGGGTTTGGAAAAATTGTCATTTTTACATAAATGTCGGGGGGGTTAAATTGCATTAAAATAAGGACATGATCATGCCTGGCCTCTAATATCTGCATTTCTAAAATTTTTTTTTCTTAGAACTTGCAAGAATCATGCTGGGAGAAGGCAGGCTACTTCTTTGATCTTCCAGATTTCTTATCTTGGAAAGCCACAGGTGTCACTGCAAGGTATGTTAACTATAACGGTATGATTTGGTGGTCTTCATCTATTTTCTTATGTACATTTCTGCTTTAATTCATTTTGACTGGACATGCTGTTATGTACATCTGTCTGTAATTCAGCCTGCTCCAAAACATCTTGAACCTATCTCCTGCTTCCATTGTGCATTCCTCAACACAGTTGTTCCTGTGAGCAGTGTAATTCACAGATACAGTATGTTGCTACAACTGTCAGTTAATTGATCTTGTACTCCATTTTGGAACATAAATATGATTGCTTTAGTTACTGTGAAATATGCTTCTAATAATTATTTGAAATCTGTTTTTGTTGACAAATGTATTGACTTTTTTGAGAATTGGAAGAAAACACTTTGCCATGTGGGAGGGATCTGGTAAAATGTTGTTGAAAATGGTCACTTCACTGTAAAACATGACAGCTGTGTTGCTCCCTAAAAGCAACCTAGAATACTTGCTGAGCAGTTAAACAAAACCCTGTGAGAGAACCCCTTTAAAGTCTTGATTAAAGTGACCACTACAAGTGAAGCGCATTTGCAGATAAAATGTGTGAGCAAATCATGAAATGTTGACCTTGTGCTAATGGTCACCTTGTGCTAATGGCTGAAGAAGCTAAAATAGACTACAGTCCATGTGAGCTTGGAGTCAAATATTATTTGGAATTTATTTTTAAAGGAAGGGAAGTAGTTTCAGAGAGAATGGTGACATATTTGAAAGAGAATTCTTATCTTGGTTGAACAGAGGAATCTCCAGCATTCATGAACAGATTTCCCACTCTTGCTAGAGTCCCCCCGATCCATAGCATGTTCTATCTGTCTTGTTTTTATAGTGGCAGCCGTACTGTATAAAAGAAATCCCTCTCTGTCCTTCTCTCTTTCCATCTCTCTTAACCTCCAACCTAGTGTAGTTTGTGAGAGCAGATGAAAAGAACAATTCCTTCCTCCAGACTTAAAAATGTAACTGTTTTTATAAGTAATTCTTTAGCTGTTGAGAAATGAATGATTGTATTGAAGCTGCAGAAGTAATCGATCACTACTAACAACTGATGCTGCAGTAGTGGGGAATCTAGATTCCTTTTACTAGTTCCTGAAAATTCCCATCTACTGTGGTTTTCACAAAGCTCTTGCTAGAGTTACGCCATGCCTGGTACTTGCTATTCCAACATAATATTTGTCCATCTGCTTGCTGTATGTACCTGTCAGTGGTTATAATTTCTGTGACGTCTTTGGGGAAGAGCAGGTGTTTTCTTGGGTGTGTTGTGGTGCTGTCAGCTGGTGGCATGCTGTCATGGCTTGCAGTGGGCTTTGGGACTGTCTAAACTCAGTGAAGCTCAGGTTTTGCTTTGGAAGTCGGTCTGAAAACAGAGGGTGTGGTGGTAATGACACCCTGACTTTGGCTTTGTGTTCTTAGCTGTAACTTTCTGGAGGTGAAAAAAAAAAAAAAGCTCCAAAAGATTATACTTAGAAGTAGAGCTGACTGAATTTTTACTGGCAAGTTCATTGCTTTAGAAATGACATTTTGATTATTCAAAACCTTTTTGATTATATTGATGAATGTTGTAAGAAAGGAAAAAGATTTTCTGGACAAAGTCTTCCCCCACTCTTTGGTTGAGAGTCTTCTATTTTGGATAAAATAGTTCCTTGTACACGCTCCTTTGCTGCCTTAATGTGCTCCCCGGATTAAGCCCATTGTTTTGACTCTAGTGGAATGTCTTACAGGGTAACAAAGGAGGAAGAAAGCGATAGGAAAATAAGGACAAGAAATGTTTTGTTGGAATCAAACCTAATTTTTTTTTCTTCCTCTGCTCTCCTCCATGAACGCCTGTTTCTTGGGAACTTCCTAGTAGTTTGGTGAAGTAATTTCTCCTGCATATGCTCATAATACTAGGGAAGTGTGAGTTTATCAAATACAAGATTCTTACCACCTTTTCTCCCTTTGAGCACAAAGGACCCTATTTACAAGGCAAGATACAGTGTTAGTCATTGTGAATCATACATAACTTGGCCCTGATAAAAGAAAGATTTATTTTTTAAAATTTGTTTTGGGGATTTTACCAAAATAAATGAAATTCCAAGGGTACTTTTGTAGGAAAGACTTCTGCATGCATTGAAGCTATTACTCTTGCTTCTTTAAATTTTTAAGGGGCTCTTTAAAACATTTTGTATGTATTTAACATTTAAAAAAATACGTGGCTTTTTGGCTTCAGTGAGATTACTCAGTGCACAAAGTTAAGTAGTGTGTGAGATCAGGATTTGAAGTATTTGAAAAGCAATTCTTGATGTGTGTTTCTGAGTATGAAATCATTTGTCTTTCACCTTTGATTCTGCTGGCTTGAACTGCCTTGTAGCCAAGTTTTTTTTCACTGGATATGTAATAAACAGTAAACGCTTCTTACCTAAAATGTCAACACTCAAACATATTCTGAGATATTTACCTACACTCTTTGAAATTGCTATATACCTCCCCGAACAGCATCCACCCATCAATTACAAAGGATAAGTTCCAAAATGTTAATTCCCATTGTTCTTGGAAGATTGTTGCCTGTAATCTTACATATTAAAAATAGTTATTTTTTATTATTTCTCCTTTGGGTTGATGAAAGACCATTGAATTGTTCTGAATGATCGAGACGGCTGACTCGTTCTGCATTAAAAAAAATGTTACTGACAGCTTTTTATGTAAAAAAATTTAAAACTTTGGAAGTTCCCCACTGCTGTCGCCCTTGTTGTAACAAGGGGTATTGGTTTTGCCACTTGAATGCTCAGTTGTCTTATTTCAGAAATGCTGTTGTGGAGAGGAAGAGAGAGCTGTTTTTTCACGGACATGTTAGCAATGCTTTTCAGAGGCTCAGCACTTTTACTCACGGTGAGTGTGACTCACTGTTCTCTTCCACCCACCATCTATAACCTCTGATAACTTCTGCTTTATATGGTATTTTGGATAAAGCTATCGTAATAAAATCTAAATGCCTATCATCTGGTTTAGTTACAGGTTGCTGTATTATGGATGGAGAATTCTTATCAGAGATGCACAACTGCAATTTTGTTGTATTTCTGAAGTCTTGTGAAGGTTTACATTGCAGATAAGAATATGGCTGAGCTGTTAAATTGGGTAGTATTCACACACAAATTTCTCGAACGCCATGTGTATTTAGATCAAGCCTTCTGTTTCAGGGCCATTTTCAATCATAAACAACTCACTGGAAAATTAGCTAGTTTCTGCTGGATGTTCGTGGTTTAAGATGAGCTGAAACCAAAGAAAGATTAAACTTGTGGAGGAGGATTTGGAAGCAAAGAGAAGAATGTCAGGCTGACATTGAGGTAGAGTGTCCAACATCATGCTATAAACCACCTCCCAAAATCACCCCAAAAAGCTGGAACAAATTGTGCAGAATAATTCTTTTATATCATTATACTCTAGGTATTTTAATAGTTGGGGAAAGTAATGTGTTATCTAGTAGAGACTTCTTCTCATATATCAATGTTGACCCAAATAATTTTCCTGTGGAAGTATTTGTCTAGTCAGTGTTCAACTGCTAGGCATCACAACAGGGAAAATGATGTAACAGAGATGTTTCTTATATTTTGGGGGGATCTATTGTAAACGATCTTCCAAGAGATCTCGGGATCATGAGTTTCTTCAGATAAAATCAGTTTTATAAAACAGAAATTCATACTGTTATGGTAATTACAGATGGTAAAGTGAAAGACAAATGTTTGTAGTTCACAAAAAAATTTCTGGGAACCACATAACTAATATTAGGCTATATCTGTGTGAGAGTCATATCTTTTTAATATACAGTATATTTTCAGC